CTCCTCCTGATCCTGCCCCTCCCCCCCCCCCTTCTGATCCTCCTCCTCCTCCTCCTCCTCCTCCTCCTCCTCCTCCTCCTCCTCTGCCTCCTCGCCCTCCTCCTCCTCCTCGTCCTCGTCCTCCTCCTCCTCCTCCCTCCTCCCTCCTCCCTCCTCCCTCTTCCCTCCTCCCTCCTCCCTCCTCCTCATGCTGCTCCTTCTCCTCCTCCTCCGCCTCCTCGCCCTCCCTTCCGCGGGTCGCCTACGGCCCCGGGGGAAACCGTCCAGTGGACCGTGCTCGAGGACGGTCGGCACGCCCGCGCCTGGTCTCGTGCTGCGCAGTCGACCGCCGCTTGTGGCAGGCGGTCTGGGGGCCGACTCGGCCCTCGCAAGCGAACGAGGCCATGCGGCAGGCGTACAGTGGGGGGCCCATGCCAAGGAGCACCCTGCTTGCCTCCAGGGTGCCCCGGGGTTTCTTGGGTTTGCGATGCCGATGGAGAGCGCGACGTTCCCGACACCAAATATCCATGGGCTTCCTGGGGTCTCGGGGTTGGGTTTCTTGTGGAAGGTTTATTGTGGACTGGCCTCCACGGTACAGTCGGCCCGCAGAGGAAGGATGGGCATCCCTCCCAAGGGTACCCTGGCATCCTTGCTTCCTGGGTCCATCCGTGGACGCTCGCGTTGGCCGCGCCCCGCTCGAAACGCCTTGAGATGGGCGTCCGAGAGGCCTTGCACCCTCCTCGCGCATCCTCACTCTGCGGGTTGCCTGCAGTCCTCCCCGTCCCGCGCCTCCTGCCCGGGCGCCATGGGATGCGGCACCCGGCCGTGGGCCGCGGCCTCCGCCCGGCCGAGGCGGTCGCGCTGCGCCGGCGGCCAGGCAAGACCCCTGGCAGCAGCGCGGGCCAGTGGGGGCTGCCCGCTGCGCTGCCGGCCCGTGGAGACCAGGCCGAAGTCGGGCCCGTCCCTCTACTGGGGGGATACTCAAGAATAGTCAAAAAATACTCGGGGGACGATTTTTTGAGCATTTGTTTGGATCATTTTGGATTATTTTTGGAGTATCTTTTATTTGTCATCGAAAATCCCCCTGTAGGGGGACACGCCCGACTTCAGACCAGGCCGGAGAGGAGGCCGCTTTTTCGGCCTGCGGTGCCAGAAGACCTGTTCGCCGTGCGGGCCCCGCCCGGGGACGATGTGCCCAGACAGGATCGTGTCGTCGGTGCTGTAGCGCCCCTTGTCGCTGGTGCAGTCGGCCGCTCTCGCGGCTTGCCTTCGTTCGACGCGGTCTTCCGCCCGACGAGGGTCAGCCTCTGCAGCGCGCCGACGAAGCCTCCCCACTGATGCGTCTTCTAGGAGCGCAGTTGCGACCACCTCCTGCTGGCTGCCTGCTGCAAGCTGGCCTGCTGGAGCTGGGCTGGAGCCCGAGGTCCCCGCCCTTGAACTGGAGGCCCAGCTCGCCGTGCTTCTCGAAGCACTTGACCAGGCAATCCTCGGTGCTGTGGGGCCGCTGCCGCAGTGCCCCCATGGCCGCATCTGGCTCTGAGGGCCTCGTGTCGGAGGGCCAGGTCCCAGAGTCCCGTCAGGCGGCGCTGGCTGGCAGCCGAGGGGCCTGGCGAAGGGGAGCCTGGCTGCCTTCTTGAGCGGCCGTGCGGGCTTGCTCTCCTTGATCCCTCGGAGCTCAGAGAGGACTGGGCTATGGCCCCCCCCCCCATGTGCACTGAGGACTGGCCCGCGCGCGTGCGCGAGGTGGTGAGGCTCCACGTCGAAGTCGCCTGCCGCGGTCCAGGGTCGCCTGCTGAGCGAGCTGGGCCTCCCTCGGCCTGGGGGGCCGAGGTTCCGAAGGACGTCGGAGCTGCGGCCGCGGAGCCTCCTCGTCGTCCCGCAGGCAGGCGCTGGCGTCGTCGATCCCCGCGTCCGTCGTTGGCCGTGGCGACCCTGCTGAGCACCCTGCGCGGCCGGATGTCGTCGGGCGCGGCGCGTGGCCTCGGCCCAGCGCCTTCTCGCGCTCAGAGCGGCTCCGCCCGATGCTGCTGACTCCGGTGGGGTCGGAGTGGGGTCGGGTGTCTGCTTATATGCGCTCTCTCTATATATGTGCCGCTCTCTGTGCTCACGATTCAGCCCGTCGCACAGACCCACTACGGTTCAATGGCGTGTTCGAAGCAGGCGGCGGTCGTGAGGGATAATGGAAAGCGCATGCTCGCATTTACATTGAGATTGTCTCGGCGATTGGCGGGGCAAGCCTACCAGGCCAGTGTCGGGAGTGATGTGCGCGCGGGTTTGCCGTCCTGGCTTCCGTCCTTTTCTTTCTTCTCCTCCTCCCCCTCCCTCCCCCTCTTCCTCCGCCTCCTCCTCCCTCTTCCTCCTCCTCCTCCTCCTCCTCCTCCTCCCTCCCACTCTTCCTCCGCCTCCTCCTTCGTCGTCCTCCCTCCCTCCCTCTTCCTTGCTCTTCCTCCCCGTCTTCTTGGCGTCGTCGTTCGGTATCATCGTCGTCGTCGCTTGGTCGGAGTGGGCTGCTTCGTCCACGGCTTTCCCCTCGCAGTGGCCCCTCTGCTGCTCCTCGGTGTCCCTGCTCGGGCGTTCTCATCGCACCCACTGGTCCGCAGCCTCTTCCTCACTTCGCTCCCTCCTCTTCTCCTCTTCCCCGCCTCCTGCTGCTCCTCCTCCTTCCCCCCTCCCCCTCTCCTCCCCCTCTCCTCCCCTCTCCCTCCCCCCTCCACATGTCCTCCTCTTCTCCCTTCTCACTCTTCCCTTCTTGGCCTCCACCTCCTCCTCTCCCCTTCCCGTTCTGGTTTACACTTGCTCCATTGGTGCGATTGGTTTGCCAGAGTTGACCCCATACAGTGAGATCTTGCAGTCTTGATGCCTAATCCATGATGTGCAGCCTACGTGGTGGTCGCCAGGAATGGTACAAAACATGTGGTGCAAGCTCTGTGGTGCAATCTATGGGGTGCAAGCTACGTGGTGCAAGACGTGCGGTGTAATCTGAAGGGTGCAAGCTATGCGATGCAGCCTGTGTTTTGCAATCAGTCGAGACGCCAGCAAGCCCACGAGACGCCGACGATGCCCCCACGGGCGACGACGCCGCGAACACCCAGAATCACCAGCTGGAGCACGAAGCGCCGACGAGGCGCCCACGGATGGCAGCGGAGCTGCAGCCAAAATTGGTAGTGAGGCTGATCGACAGCCCAAGGGTGCCCCCCTCCTCCTTCTTCTCCCTCCTCTTCCTCCTCCTCTTCCTCTTCTTCCTCCTCCTCCTCCTCCTCCTCCTCCTCCTGCGCCTCCCCCTCCCCCTCCTCCTCTCCTCCTCCTCCTGTTCCTCCTCTCCTCCTCTTCCTCCTCCCCTTCCTCCTCCTGCCCTCCTCCCGTTATCCTCCTCCTCCTCTCCTCCTCCTCCTCCTCCTCCTTCCTCCTCCTCCTCCTCTCCTCCTCCTGCCTCCTCCCTTCTGCTTCTCCTCCTCCTCCTCCCCTCCTCTTCCCCCCCCGTCCTCCTCCTTCTTCTCCTCCTCTTCCTCCTCCTTGTCCTCCTTCATCTTTCTCCTCCTCCTCCTCCTCCTCCTCCTCCTCCTCCTCCTCCTCCTCCTGTCCGCCCCCGCCCCCCCCCCACACACCCCACGGGGGCGTCCTTGCCTCTTCGGTCATCTTCGGTCCATCCTCAGCCGCTTCCGATGGCCGGCCCCTCTCGAAGAGCTTCGGCAGGGGCGTCCAGGGCCCTTTTGCATCCCCGCCGCGCCCAGCCGTGCCACCAGCTGGGCTGCAGAGGCCTGGAGCTCCAGCCTTGCGCGCGAGGCGCCGGAGAGGCCGCGACGGTGCGAAAGCCCGGGCCCCCCCGCCGGCGCACGCGGCGCCCCACGGGCGGCCACGGAGCGAAGGCCCCGAGCTCCCAGCGGGTCCGCGGTTTCCCGCGAGGCGCCGGCGAGGCGCCTCGCGGGGAGTGCGACGTCGCGGCGACTGTCGGAGGAGGGCGGGGTGCCTATGCCGCTGCAGCGGAGGCTCAAGAGCACCCTGCCTGCCTTCAGGGTGCCCTGGGTTGCTTGGGCTTCGATGGGTTTGCGATGGAGAGCGTGGCGCTCCCGGGCGTCCTGGGGCGTCAGGGTTGGGTTTCTTGTGGTAGGTTTCTTGTGGTCGGGCCCCCGCTGTGTACCACTACCCTTCGCCCGTTTTTCCCTTTGAGGGCCTCCCAGGAGGCCTTCGTCGCCTCGCCGCCGCCGCCGCCTGATGCGCCTCGGACTCCTGGTCAGGGCGCACCCCGGGAGAGGCCACAGAAGTTGCGGTATGGCTACCTTTCGGTGCCCCCAGAAGCCGCGACGGTTGGGAGCTCCCACCGGGTGGAGGAGGTGCCGGAGTGCCAAACGCAGTCGGGCCTGTCCCTCCACAGGGGGAATATCCAAAAACAGTCAAAAAGTAGTCGGGGGACGATTTTTGTTGACTATCTTTTTGCCCATGTGGGGGGTCTTTGTTGCCAATTTCCTATTTTTTCGCCCAGAATCCACCTGTGGGGGGGGACACGCCCGACTTCACACAGAGCCCTGGGTGCAAGCATTGCCCGGGGAGTGCTGCTCTCCTCGTCGGTGCAGCGGCGGAGTCCCGAGGGGCGGGGACCTCAGGACGAGGCTGCAGGGCATGCTCGGCCCAGCGCGGGCCACGCTGCCGGATGCGGTGCGCCTTCCTCGTCGTTGTTGTCCCCCTCCGTTCCCCGCCTCCGCCCTCCCCTCGGCCTCCTGCTCCTCCGACTCCTCCCGCTCGTTCTCCCTCTTCCTGCCTCCTCCTCCTCCGCCTCCTCCCGCTCGTCCGCCTCCTCATCCTCCTCGCCATCTGTCAATGTACAAGGTCCCCCTTGAACGATTGCGCGGCATGCTATGGGTCAAATCTTGAAGATGCTCGGGGACGCCCAAGTTGGCGGATAGTAAAGGATTCAGCACAATGGAGAGGGATGGGTGGGGCAGGTCGGATGCCGTACGTGGCGCGATCATGCCTAGCTTGTCCGGTCCCCATGTCCCCCTTTTCCACTCCTCCTGCTCCTCCGTAGCCGATCTGGCTCAAGATATTTCGGCTCCAGGCCGACAGTGAAGCTGCGCCCCTCATCCAGAGCCCCTGCCGCCATGGCGGCCCCGCAGCAGATGTACGTGGTGAAGCGCGACGGGCAGCGCCAGGAGGTCAAGTTCGACAGCGTCACCAAGCGCATCCGGGCGCTGTGCAGCGGCCTCGACCCCAAGTACGTGGACCCGGTGCCCATCACGCAGAAGGTCATCGAGGGCTTCTACGCGGGGATCTCCACCTCGGAGGTCGACGTGCTCGCGGCCGAGACCTGCGCGTACATGTCCCAGAGGCACCCCGACTTCTCGACCCTCGCCGCCCGCATTGCCGTCTCGAACCTGCACAAGAACACCTCGGACTCCTTCTCCGAGACGTGCCGAAGGTCGGAGGCTGGATCACATACACTGCCAGCAGCGTGCTGTTTCTCCATCTCAGGACTTTTCGGGGGCGACCTTCGGGGGTGGTGTGGCGTATACTTCGTTTATCCGCTTCCCGGGGAAGCAGCCAAACATGTATACACCAGGATCCCGAGTGCACCAGGATCAGTTTTCCTGTGCAAATGTCAGTGCAGGGCTGGACAAAAAGCATCGGTGTCCGGTAGGTTCGTGTCGTGTCGACCGGCGGCGACCCCGCCAGCGGCGTTCAACGTTGAACGCCGCGGGCGACCCAGAATCGTTCGATGTGGAAGGATTTGGAGTGTCGGAAACGGCCGATCGTCCAAGGTTGAACGATCCCCGCGGTGTCAGAAACCAACGCCGAAGTCGGCACGACACGAACCTGACGTATAGAGTTCGGTTTCTTGGAAGGCTCTACGAGTATCGTGACGCTCAGGGGCGGTCGGCCACCCTCATCGCGGACGACGTCCACGCTTTCGTCCAGGAAAACTCCGAGCGCCTGGATGCCGCCATCAGCTACCAGAGGGACAGCGACTACGACTTCTTCGGCTTCAAGACGCTGGAGAAGTCTTACCTCCTGCGCGTGAGCGGGAAGATCGTCGAGCGGCCTCAGCACATGCTCATGCGGGTGGCCTGCGGCATTCACTGCGGCAATGTCGAGGCAGCGATAGAGACGTACGACTTGATGTCGCTGCGCAAGATGACGCACGCGACGCCGACGCTCTTCAATGCAGGGACGCCTACCCCACAGATGTCGTCCTGCTTCTTGCTCACCATGAAGGACGACAGCATCGAGGGAATCTACGACACCCTGAAGCAGTGTGCGGCGATCTCCAAATGCGCAGGCGGCATCGGAGTTGCGGTGTCGAACGTCCGTGCGAAAGGCAGCTACATTCGTGGCACCAATGGCCAGAGTAATGGGCTTGTGCCGATGCTGCGCAACTTTAACGAGACTGCGCGCTATGTTGACCAGGGCGGCGGCAAGCGAAAGGGCTCGTTCGCAATGTACCTGGAGCCGTGGCACGCGGACATCTTCGACTTCCTGGAGTTGCGTAAGAACCACGGAAAGGAGGAACAGCGTGCCCGCGACTTGTTCTACGGCCTATGGATCCCGGACCTCTTCATGCGCCGCGTGAAGGAGGACGGCAACTGGACGCTGTTCTGCCCCAACGAGGCGTACGACAAGGAGACGTCCAAGGGGCTCATGGACGTCTACGGCGAGGAGTTCGAGAATATGTACTCGCAGCTCGAGAAAGACGGCAAGGGCCGCAAGACTGTGAAAGCCCAGAGCCTCTGGTCTCGCATCGTCGAGGCGCAGATGGAGACTGGCACGCCGTACATGCTCTATAAAGACCACGCGAACAGGAAGTCCAACCAGCAGAACCTCGGCACCATCCACTGCTCGAACCTCTGCACCGAGATCATCGAGTACACGTCCCCCGGCGAGGTGGCAGTGTGCAACCTGGCGTCGATTGCACTGCCCGCCTTTGTCAGGAGCGAGCGCGTGGAGGATTACGACTTCCAGGAGCTGTACCGGGTGACAAAGGTGGTGACTGGTAACCTGAACAAGGTCATCGACCGAAATTTCTACCCGGTCAAGGAGGCCAGGACCTCCAACATGAAGCACCGCCCCATCGGCCTCGGGGTGCAGGGTCTCGCCGACGCCTTCATGATGATGCGTTTGCCGTTCGAAGGCGAGGTTGCGAAGAGGCTCAACGAGGACGTCTTCGAGACGATCTATTTCGCGGCATGCGAGGCCTCCTGCGAGCTGGCGGAGAAGGACGGGCCGTACGAGACTTTCACGGGCTCACCCGCCAGCCGTGGTCAGCTGCAGTTCGACCTGTGGAAGCAGACGCCCAAGAGCGGACGCTGGGACTGGGCAGGCCTGAAGGAGAAAATTGCTAAGCACGGCCTGAGGAACTCTCTGTTGGTCGCCCCGATGCCCACTGCGAGCACGGCGCAGATCTTGGGGAACAACGAGTCGTTCGAGCCCTACACACAGAACCTGTACGTGCGTCGCGTGCTGTCTGGCGAATTCGTGACCGTGAACAGGCACCTCCTCCGCGACCTGATCCGGCGCGGTCTGTGGACGGAGGACATGCGCATGCAGCTGATCGCGCACAACGGCAGCGTGCAGGGCCTTGACTTGCCGGCTGACCTCAAAGAGCTCTACAAGACAGTTTGGGAGATCAAGCAGAGGGTGGTGCTCGACATGGCTGCCGACCGTGGAAAGTACATCGACCAGTCGCAGTCGTTGAACATCCACATGGTTGACGCGTCGGCCTCTAAGCTCTCTTCCATGCACTTCCACGGCTGGCAGCTGGGGCTCAAGACCGGAATGTACTACTTGCGCACCAAGGCCGCCACAGAGGCCATCAAGTTCACCGTGGATGTGGACAAGGTGAAGCGCGCGAGCGCCAGTCAGGCGCTGGTGAAGGGCGAGGGCGGCTATCCGGCAGGAGCCTCCGCCGCGGGCGCGGCCTCCAGGGAGGAGCAGTCGGTGGAGAAGAAGGCCATCGATGCGCTCAAGGCGGGCGCGCCGAAGTACGAGTGCGTCGGCTGCAGCGCCTGAGGGGGCGCACCGGGGCGGTGCCGTCAGCAGCTCATCCAGGGGGCAGCGGGGGGCGTGGCACCCACGCCCGCGCTGCGTTTACATTTTTCCGAGGGCCTGCCTGCCCAGCAGGCGCAGCGGGGAGGAGGGGGCGCTGGGTCGGAGGAGGCACGCTGGCGCCACCGTGCCTGGCAACGGCAGCTCTGAGCTCCAGGATGGCGCAGAGACCCGCCGGGCCGCAGCCAGGAGGGCCTGCACGCCAGACTTGGGCCCAGGATCGTCCTTGGCCAGGCAAGGTGGTGGTGGTCCAGGAAGGGAAGCAACACGCAGACACAACTCATCGTCGATTTCCAGGAAGATGTAGGGAAATCTATATATATATATATATATATATATATATATACATATATGGGATGTGGGGGGGAAGACGAAACGCCAGAAGATTTTCGAAGAAGATGTAAAGCCATTTACATAAACTTTTTGGCGCTCCGCGCGGCGCCGCCCTTGGCGCGCTGGCAGCGCGCGCCAGGGAAGGGGTCCAGCGAAGATCCAAGAAATCCGCGCGGAGCGAGAAAGTTTCATGTCTAGATTGGTTTCCCTTCTTCTACGTTTGGGAAACATGGAATCTCCTGGGATCTGTACCTATTTATCTGTGTGTTCCTGGCCCCGTTCATTGGTGGTGTTGGTTATGCCCTGACCTCCGGCGGTCGCTTCGCAGCGTGGGCCTCCCCAGAGGTGCCGACCCAAGGGGGCAGAGACCATTGCAGCCCATCGAAGTAGGGCAACCAGCCCTCCTCCTCCTCCTCCTCCTCCTCCTCCTCTTCCTCTTCTTCTTCTTCCTCCTCCTCTCCCCCTCCTCTCCTCCTCCTCCTCCTCCTCCTCCTCCTCCTCCACCTCCTCCTCCCCCTCTCCTCCTCCTCCGCCTCCTCCTCCTCCTCCCCCTCCTCCATCCCTTTTCCTTAGAAATAACCTTTCCCTGTCGTACCCCGAGGCCAGTTTTTAGGGCGGGCTGGGTGTTTCGCCAGAGACCTCCTCACCATTTTTGACTCTGAAGCTTAAACAGTGGCAGCGGTTTCGCAGATGGAGGGCGGGTGGTTTTCAAAATGTGGTTTTCGCTTTAGCGCCGCGCACATTCGCCTTTCAAATGTTGCAAGAGTTTCACGGATTGAGGGCGGTTGGTTTTCAGAATGTGGCTCTCGCCTAGAGCCGCGCGCATTCGTCTTAGCATGTTGCAAGAGTTTCACGGATTGAGGGCGAGTCGTTTTCAAAATGTGGTTTTCGCCTTAGCGCAGCGCACATTTTTGTATCATATGCAAGAGTTCACGGATTGAGGGCAGTTTCTTTTTCAAACTGTGGCCCTCGCTCCAGCGCTGCGCACATTCGTTTTAAACATGTGCAGGAGCTTCACGGATTGAGGGCGGGTTATTTTTCAAAGTGTGGCTCTCGCTTTAGCGCGGCCCACGTTCGTTTTATTCTGTTTTATACATATATGGGAGATCCCGGGCCCCGGGCCCCGGGCCGGAACCCCCCTTGTATATAGGGTGCGGCCCTCTCCCGGGGCGCCCTTCCGGCGGCCCCCGCGCGTTCCAGCCCGCCCAAGAGGGCTCCAGGAGCGCCGAGAGAACCCCAGGATCGCTTCAAGACCGCCAAAGATCGCTTCCAGAAGGGTCAAGAGGCGCTCAAACCGCCCCAAGAGGCCTTCAAGAGGCCCCCCACGAGCGCCCCGGGAGACCAAAATAGCCCCATTCCCTTCGTAAAACGTACATTTTTACGATATCAGCTCCCTTAGCTGTCGGAGCGGCCAGAAAGCCCCACGAGGCGCCCAAGGACGCTCCAGGACGACTGAGGACAGCCCCAAGACGGCCCAGGAGGGCCTCCCGGGACGCTCCTCCGGCGGCCCCCGGGCTGCCCAGTCCGCCCAAGAAGGCTCCAAGAGCGCCGAGAGAACCCCAGGATCGCTTCAAGACCGCAAAAGATCGCTTCCAGAAGGGCCAAGAGGCCATCAAACCGCCCCAAGAGGCCTCCAAGAGGCCCCCCAAGAGCGCCCCGGGAGACCAAAATGGCCCCATTCCCTTCGTAAAACGTACATTTTTAGGATATCAGCTCCCTTGGCTGTCGGAGCGGTCCGAAAGCCCCACGAGGCGCCCAAGGATAGCCCGAAGACAGCACAGGAAGGCTTCCCGGGACGCTCCTCGGGCGGCCCCCGGGCCTCCCAGTCCGCCAAAGAAGGCTCCAAGAGCGCCGAGAGAAGCCCAGGATCGCTTCAAGACCGCCAAAGATCGCTTCCAGAAGGGACAAGAGGCCATCAAACCGCCCCAAGAGGCCTCCAAGAGGCCCCCCAAGAGCGCCCCGGGAAACCAAAATGGCCCCATTCCCTTCGTAAAACGTACATTTTTAGGATATCTCATCCCTTGGCTGTCCGAGTTGTCAGACAGCCCCAGGAGGCGCCCAAGGACGCCCCAGGACGCCTGAGGACAGCGCTAAGAGGGCCTAGGAGGGCTTCCTGGGACGCTCCTCGGGCGGCCTCCGGGCCTCCCAGTCCGCCCAAGATGGCCCAAGAGACTTCCCGGTCGCCCCGAGAGGGCCGCCGGAGCGCTCCGATACGGCCCAACATGGCCTCCAGAAGGGCCACGAAGCCGTCAAGACGCCCCAAGAAGGCTCCAAGAGGCCTTCCAAAAGGGCCCCGGGAGCCAAAACTTACTCCATTCCTTTCGTACCACGTGTCCAACTTATCCGCCGCTTCCTCCTTCCTTCTGCATCCTGCCTTCTCCCGCCTCATCTTCCTCCTCCTCCTCCTATTCCTCCTCTTGCCTCCTCCTCCTCTGTCGTTCTCCCTCGTCCTCACTCCTTCCTCTCTCCTGCTCCCTCGTTCTCCACCGCCCTCCTTCCCAAGACGCTCCAAGACGGCTCCAGAGGCTTCCAAGAGGCGCCCCAAGAGGCCTCGAGGAGGCGCCCCAAGAGGGCTCCAAGAGGCAAACATCATTGATTTTCAATATGAAAGTGTATATTTTTAGCAGATGTATGTTTTCGGCCTTCACGGCGTTGAAGACGGTCGAAAAGACCCCCACGACCGCCCCAAGACGGCCCAAGAGGTTCCCTAGAAGCGCCCAAGACGGCCCGAGAGGGCGCCAAGACGGCCAAAGAGGCCCCCAAAACGGCCCGAGAGGGCCCCAAGACAACCCCAAGAAGGCCCCAGGATGCCCCAAGAGGCCCCCAAGAGGCCCCCAAGAGGCTTCCAAGAGGTGCCTAAGAGGCCCCAAAGAGGCCCCAAGAGGCAAGGCGGCAGAGAGTCGGCGAAGGCAGTTTCCATACCATGCCCGGCCCGGCGCATTGGAGGGGGATGGGGAGGACGAGGAGGGGGAGGGGAGGGACGGGGATGAGGAGGAGAAGGAGGAGAAGGAGGAGGAGGAGGGGGAGGAGGAGGAGGAGGAGGGGGAGAAGGAGGAGAAGGAGGAGGAGAGGAGGAGGAGGAGGAGGAGGAGGAGGAGGAGGAGGAGTGGGAGGAGGAGGGCGATGAGGAGGAGGAGGAGGAGGAGGAGGAGGAGGAGGAGGAGGAGTTTGAGCAAGTGGAAGAAGGAAGGATTCAGAAGGAAGGAGGAAACGGTGGAGCGGGGATGAGCCTCTTCATTTGAGATGTTGAGGCGTTCGGGTTCGATTTCTGGGCTCGGGTCTTCCGTCTCAAGGTTCGGGTCTAAGGGTGAGGGTGTCATGGAAAGATTGTTCGGGTTTGAGTGCTCTCGTGGATCTTCTTGGGAGCCTCATGGGCCCTCTTGGGGCCATTTTGGGCCGTCTTGAGGCCGTCTTGGGCTGTCTTGGGGCCATCGTCGGCCATCTTGAGGCCCTCTTGGAGTCCCAAGAGGCCCAAGAGGCCGAAATTGTTGATATTACATAGGTCTTTCTATGTTTTGAGGCCCAGAAGGAGGCCCTCCAGATTTGGTCCGACGATGTGGCGCGGCTCCAAGGGGGGGGGGGGGCATAATATTGCAGAACGATACAATATGTAGCATATGTAACAAGTATGCAATCGTTGGATACACTGGACACGTTGCATTAAAGCATCCGCGGACCTGCCTCTGGCAACACGTCATTTTCGGACGTAGATTTCCCGCGAATCGCCACGGAATCGGACCCGTGCTTGCGAACACCGTTTTCGGAGCAAACTAGAACCTAAGCGCGCGCGAAGCGCGCGCGTGGTTCTATATATATATATATATATATATACGTTGCAAGAGTGTCACGGATTCCCATCATCAGCGTACGAGTATGCGGACGCTACAGTTACGTTGATTCTTTGTGTTGGAGTCCTAGGAATGGCGTTCTGGCAAGATTCAGGATCGTCAGAACGCAACTGTCAGGTTGATCCGTGGCGTTGGAATCCTGAGAACAATGTTTTGGCATGCTTCAGGGTCTTCATACGGGTGTCTTCAACGAGGCAGTTCCATCCATGGAAATGAGCCGTTGTAGGGGCCTGTGAAGGGGGAGCCTAGAGGGAGGGTTTACTCTAACATCGTTGATGACTCTTGGGTTTACACTGGCCCTCCTCCTCCTCATTCTCATTCTCCCCCTCCTCCCCTCCTCTTTCTCCTCGTCGAAGCCCCGCGCGGATTTTGTTTGATCGGCGCTGGACCCTGTGCGCCAGGGTTGCCCAGCGCCGATGCAAGACATCCGCGCGGAGTTGCGACGAAGAAGAAGAGGAGGAGGAGGAGGAGGGGGAGAAAGAGGATGAGGGGGAGGAGGAGAAGGAGGAGGAGGAGGGGAAGAATGAGGATGAGGGGGAGGGATGGGGAGGAGGAGGAGGAGGAAGGAGGCGGAGGAGGAGGAGGAGGAGGAGGCGAACGCTTGTGTCTATGCAGCTCTCGCTTCTTCTGGCTGGGTACAGGCAGGCGTGCCGGCTGGCACGCGGCTCGCGCAATGTGGGGAGCCAGCCGGCCTCCTCTTCGGGGGCGCGCGCCCGCGTGCTGGGCGCGCGCGGAGGAGGCTGGCTGGCGCGTCCGCGCTGGGGCGGCGCACTCCTCGGGGCTCCGGCGTCTGCGCGTGGCGCGCGTCGTCGGCAGCCTCCGCGAGAGGGTGCTCCTTCTTCCTCCTCTTCCTCCTTCTCTTCTACCTCCTTCTCTTCCTCCTCCTCCTCCTCCTCCTCCTCCTCCTCCTCCTCCTCCTCCTCCTCCACTGCCTTCCCCTGGGCGACGTAAAAAAACGGGATCGTCTGCGCCGACGTTGGCGCGTAAGCTGCAGGAGTGAGGTCGCGCGCACGCACCCTCGTTTCCAGGTTGGCGCGTGGCGCGCTCGCGGCCCGCGTAAGCCGCGGCGTGAGGTCGCTACCTCACGTCGCGTGAGACCCTTTCTTCCTCCTCCTCCTCCTCCTCCTCCTCCCTCTCCTCCTCCTCCTCCTCCTCCTCCTCCTCCTCCTCCTCCTCCCTCCTCCTCCTCCTCCTCCTCTTCCTCCTCCTGTCTCGTGTCCTCCTCCTCCTCCTCCTCCTCCTCCTCCTCCTCTTCCCTCCGGTGTCTCACATCTGTTCTGCCGCATGCCGCAGGGGACAAGCGCGGTGAGGTCAGTCTTGCGTCATCGGGTTGGGTACCGAAAAACCTCCACGAGGAGGGGACTCGTCCTCCTCCCTTCAGTCGGATCCTCCTCCGGGGTTTCATGTTGAGCTTCCATCTCGGAAATGTGTTCTTTTATTGTTTCGCTGAGCTGGTCTGGCCGCTCGGGGGGGCCTAACTGGACCGTCTGTCGCAAATATGCCTGGCGCTCCCCCGTCAGCAAGAGCTTGACCCTTCCTCCGCTGACTGCTATCCTATCCCATCCTTCAAGCGGAGGAAAACCATACCGACACCGCCACCCTTGCCTCGCTTTCTCGTTTCGGGGTCTCCAGGGAGGCCCTCGTCGCCGCGGCTGGATTCTCTTTGACATTCTGGTCAGAACGCGCCCCGGGATAGGCCCAGGGAGTAGCGGTAGAGGTGCCCTTTCTTCCCCCAGGCTTTGGTCCTCCTCTTGTCGGGGCGGGCTAGCAGGGGTGGATGGGGAAGGGGGGGGGTCGCAAAAACTTGCTTTGGCCCCTCCGCATGGCATGTTTCGCAGGGGTTGCTCCGCCCCCGCCCTGCGCTAGGAGGCGCCGTGAAAACCAACCTCGCGCAACTGTTTCCTTACAGTGGGGCCCATGCCAATGAACACCCTGGTTGCCTCCAGGGTGCCCTGGGTTTCTTGGGTTTCTTGGGTTTCGATGGTCTTGCGGTGGAAAGCGCGACGCTCCCTCACCAACAATCAATGGACGCCCTGGGGTCTCAGGGTTTAGTTTCTTGTGGAAGGTTTCTTGTGGTCGTTCCCCAACTGTCCCCCCCCCTTTTGCCAACTCCATCGGGCCCCGCCTTTCGCACCGTGATGCTGCGCACTTCCCCTGGAAGACGAGGTATTATCCGCGGTGTCCACAACAGCGCCACGCATGACGAGGAGGAGGAGGAGGAGGAGGAGGAGGAGGAGGAGGAGGAGGAGGAGGAGGAGGAGGAGGAGGAGGAGCAACGCAGCAGCACGACAGCAAGAGCGGCGGTGGCAGCATTCCGTTCTGTGGCCTTTTGGGGCCGTCTGGCCTCTTTGGGTCGTATTGGGGATTTCTTGGGGCTGTTTTGGGGGTAAGCGTCGGTATCGGTAAGTTGGCATCGGTAAGCGTCATCGCGGCCGCATTGGTTGTGCCAAACCCGCTGGCCTTTTTGCGCGCGGGCGTTCGAACGCTGGCGCAGCCGCAGGGATGCGCCAGCCAGCGCCAAGGAGTTACTGCAATCGCGGCCGCATGGGATGTGCAAAACAAAATTGCGGGTGGGAGGGTGGGATGGTGCTCGTTTTTTGTTCATTGTTTTGCCGATCGGCGCGGGCCCTCGCGCCCCCCCTCCCTCCCCCCTGGAGTGGATCTTGGCTGTTTTTGGCGCCTGGTTTGATTTGATTCGAGCAAGTGGAATCCCTCTCCCATACGACGCACGTTTGCAAACAGCCGCACTAAGCAGAGGTCCGGGAGCCAGACCGCCCCCCTCCCTCCCCTTTTCCGCCCAATGCCGAAACGCCGAATAGAAAAAGCGTTCACATGATTGCGCGAGCACGGGAAGTGACGGCCTCGAGTCCTGCACCGCGAAATGTGGTTTCAAAAGGGGAAACTCGGCAGCCCTCGCACGCCTGTGGCAGGCGCCCCCCTCTCTGGGGCCCGCGCACGTGGCTGCGTTCTGCACATCTGCTCATGTGTCGTCTGCATGCTCCGCAGGAGCTCGTGCTACCCCAGGAGGGCCCGGTCTCGCCCCCCCCCCTCCACGTTTTTGGATAACGCCATGCGCGCCAACTCGTTGACCAATCTAATCCATATCTCTGTACGTGCGTCAGCATACATTTATTGAAACTGTAGGTTCTTTTAACTGAATATATATATACACATATGTATACATATATATATATATATAGTGAAGACTCCGAGTCCAAGAGCAAAGGAACCTCACAAGGTGGACATACGTGTGAACACGTTGAAGCCTTGCCAAAAACCAGCTTCGCAATGATTTCGCTATACGTAACGTGAAGCCTGACAGGTTTTGCAACACACAACATACAGATTATCTGCCTACGCGCACTTGCTCAAACCATCGGGGAACCATCTGATTTTAGCAGTCTCGTCCAGAACCCGCATTATCATCTCACCACGCGGTGCATCCGCGTTGATCCAACGTGCGCCCAGTGTGCGAATCCGCATCAAATAATTACCATGCGGGCGACACGCGCGCGACGGTGGCGAACTCCTTCAGCAACCAACATCGAACTCTTCAAACACATACGAACAATCAAGGAACAGCTAATTGGCTTTCAGCCGGAAATTTGCCATTACTTTTGCATGCCCGCGCGAGCACTTCCTTACCATCACCTTCGTCAGCGCCTCCGAATCACCGCCGTTACCGTCATCGTCAATCGCCGCCAGTGCCGCAATTATCACTCAATCACTATCACCACCGACACATGGCCACCATCATCGTCATCGTTGTCACCACATCTGCGCCGTCATTGGTCTCCACCACCATCGCTACTATTTTCATCTTTGCCGCCGATGCCGACATCATCATGATATCGCGCCCGTCCGAGTCACCGACCCGTGCTGAAGTGACCGCGCGCCATCGCGACCTGGAGACGTGCTGGGAAGGTGCCGTCGGTAAGCGTCATCGTGGCCACATCGGTTGTGCAAAACCAGCTGGCCGCTCTGCGCCCGAGCGTGCGGGCGCTAGCGCAGCCGCAGGGATGCGCCAGCCAGTTGCAAGGAGTTACTGCAACCGCGGCCGCATAGGTGGTGCAAAATAACTTGCAGGGGGGAGGATGTGGGAGGGTGGGAACATTGCGCGAGCAGCGGAGTTCACAACTCATTGTGAGCATCTGGTGGATATTACCACGTAGCTTCCATCTTTTTACAATGCAATACTTCAATGTTTGGTGTCCGCGGCGCGCCTGTCTGTTCTCTTGCTGCTGCTTTCGCCCCCCTCTTCTGGTTCGCATGGAACCCCTTGGAGATTCACTTCAGCATCAGCGCTGGTACATCCGTGGTCGGAACCGCCCTGGTCCGGCACAGTCCCCCGTAACTCGATTTTGTCTCGCTTGATCTAGTTTTACACGGCTTGGGCCCCCCTTGAGCCAGCTTGACGTCTTGAGTACTCTGGCCTTGGCTCCTTACTCGGGCTTGACGGCCCCCTGTCGTGCTCACGAAGGCTTCCCAAGAGCTGCCTCCTCCCCCCACTTGCCTTGCACCTCGGTTCCCTACGTCCACTGCTCCCCGGCACCAGGCTGGTCTGCCGTGCGGGGACCGAGATCGAGACCGAGGGCATGCCGGACGCCATCCCGGACTCCTCCCCGGACAGGCAGGACCCGGGAGACGCACCGGTGGTCGTTCAGGACAGGCGGGCCCGCAAGGTGACCGCCGGGCTTGCGCCCTCTCTCTCGAGAGCAGCAGCAGGCCCCCTTTCCCAGGCTGCGAACAGAGGAGGACGGCGGAGGGCTCTGGGGCCGACTTTTTGTTTCCTTCATGGTCTCGAGCCCTCACCCACCTCTTCCCTCCTCCCCCCCTTCCCCTTCCAGACGGTCCATGTAGGCACGAGGCACGCCTTCTCTGAGGTGGGGCGACCCTCCCGCAAATATTGTACATAGTTGCGCCATGTGTCCAAGCATGTTGAGCTGCTGATTCTTGCTTGCTCGAGTTGCTGATTTGTGTGTGTGTGTGTGTGCCAATGTCTGCCCGCAGGGGGCCGCTCCGGCAACTGGAGCCGGCACGTAGACCAAACCGAACCGGGGCTCCCCCCAGGCCCACCCCGTGGTCTCCCGACAGGGCGCGGAGGGTGACGCCCAGCATCGCGCATATCGCGGTCTGGGGCTGGAGTATTGTTGAAGAGGAACCCTTCGCCAGGGCGGCGGCGTGGGGGCGGCGCGGGCAGCTTGGCGCCGCGCACCTCGGCGCGCCACCGCCGTGGTGTCTCTGTGCGCTCCACTGCCTCCCGCGGGGGGCAGGAGCCCCGGAGCGCGGGCAGTGTTTTAGTATATACCTATACGACCGCCCTGCGGGCGATAAGGAGGTTGGGGAAGGATTGAGATCAAATGCCCACCCTGACTGACCTCCAGCCTGTCACCTGGGTTGGATTGGGTGGGATAAGATAAGATAAGATGGGACACTGGGATTGGGTGGGATAAGATAAGATGGGACAAACTGGGTTGGATTAAGATAAGATGGATTGGATTGGACAATTTATATTGGATAAGGTAAGCTGGATTGGATAAGAAAGCCCGCCGCAGGCGCCAACAAAAATGAATTGCTGGATTGTGTTGGGTGCATTGGATTGGATGGGATAAGATGGACTGGATAAGATAAGATGGGTTAGATTGGAAGAGATGGATTGGATTGGCCCGCCGCAGGCGCAGAAACAAATGAATTGATAGATTGGGTTGGGTAGATTGGATTGGGTGTGATAAGATAAGATGGGACAGGATGGGTTGGATAAGATAAGATTGATTGGATTGGACAAGATGGATTGGATAAGATAAGCTGGATTGGATAAGAAAGCCCGCCGCAGGCGCCGAAAAACATGAATTATGAAATTAGCGACATGCGTTAGCGCCGGGACGCCCGGGACACCCGGGACACCTGGGACACCGCCCGGCCCAACTGGGACACCTCCCGGCCACCGGCGGACGGGAGACGGTCTTTCGCTCCTACTGACACTCGGGACACCCGGGACACCGCCCGGTCCAACTGGGACACCTCCCGGCCACCGGCGGACGGGAAACGGACTTTCGCTCCTACTGACACCTGGGACACCCGGGACACCGCCCGGCCCAACTGGGACACCTCCCAGCCACCGGCGGACGGGAACGGACTTTCACTCCTACTTCGACCTAGCTACAAGAGGGTCACGCGCAGCTTCGCCTCGCCCGCACGCACGACACGAACACGAAACCGAAACCGATCTCCTGGTGGGGTATCGGTTTCACTGCGACCTCACCCCCTAACCTCCGATTTATAAATTCATATATGTATATGTGTATGTATGTATATCTGTACTCTATATAGATATGTCATTGCAAGACTGCAGTGGCGCTTTGCGCCAGGCGCCTTGGTCCTTCGAGTTTCGCACGCCGGCGGTGTGCGTGCGCGTGCACATGCGCGCGCGAATCTATACATACACGTCATACGCGCGCATGTGCATGCACGCTGCATACTTGTGATATGGAAGTATTGGTGTATATATATATATATATGCATGTATGTAGGTAAGTGTGTGCATGTATGTAGGTATGTATGTATGTATACGTGTATGTATGTATGCGTGTTCGTATGCAAGGTATGTATATATGCATGCATGTATGTATGCATGTATGCATGCATGTACATATGCATGTATGTATATATGTAGGTATGTATACATGTATGCATGTGTGTAATTTGTATGCATGTATGTAGATATGTATGTATTTCTGCATGCATGTATGCATATCTGTATGCGTAAATGTATGTATGCATGTGTACACATACGTAGCTACACTTATGTACATGTGTATATACATATGCACCAATTACTAGCCATACGTAAATATATATGTTTGTATATATATATACATATACACATATATATATATGTTTCGGTCGATATATCCATGCTTGTGCAGACATAGGTAACATGCTTACTTGGGGAGGTCTACGTGTACACAGGTGCATGTCTATATACATGTGCGCGGTCGTGGCCACAGAGGGTGTGTGGCCAGAAGCGCAGCGAAGGGCTCGCGAGTGCCGAACGACTTGGGTAGGAGACGGCATGGTGGACGGAACGGCGATCTGGGCTGACCAGTTCGCGGAAGGAGTACCCTGGGGGGCGTCGGGGCCGTGTCGCAGCGGGGCCCGACTATCTCGACGCTCGAAGTAGTTTTGGGTCGCCGTTCGCTCTTGGGAGGCCTCGCGTTCAAAGTGTTAACGTCACGTGGACCTTCTTTGAGCCTCCCAGAGCCTTCTGAGGACCTCTGTGGGACGTGTTGCAATCCCGTTGTGGCGCGGGCCCGTCTTGGGGCGCGTATTGGCTCTATTGGGCTGTCTTGGGGTCATTTTCGGGCTCCTGGCCCGTTTTGGGTCTTTCTTGGGGCTTTTGCAGGCGTTTTCGAGCTTCTGTGGGGTCCTTGCGGGATCCTTTGGGACGCTTGGGGAATTCTTGGGGCTTCCTGGGGGCCTCTGGGGGGCTTCTTGGGGATTTCTTGTGGCCTCGTCGGGGCCTCTTGGGAACCTCCTGGGGCCTCCTGGGGCCCTGTCGGGACTGTCTGGGGGCCCTCTTGGGCCGGTTCGGGGTCCTCTTGGGCCGGTTTGGGGCCCTCTTGGATGTCTGTCGGGCCGTCTTAGGGCGATATTTGGGGCCTCGTGGGCCGTCTTAGAGCGTCGGGAAGCCGAAAAGGGGGGTAATCAACAATCCCCCACATACCAACGGAAAATACATGAGTTTTGCGTCGTGGGGCCCTCTTGGGAGTGCTCTTGGAGACCTCTTGGGACGTTTTGAAGCGATCTCAAACTTCTGTGGGGTCCTTGCGGGATCTTTTGGGACTCGGGGACCTCTTGGGGCTTTTCTGGGGGCCTCTTGGGGGCCTCTTGGGGCCTTTTGGGACCTCTTGGGAGCCTCCTGGTGCCTCCTGGGGCCCTGTCGGGAGATTGTCTGGGGGCCTTCTTGGGCCGGTTTGGGGCCCTCTTGGATGTCTGTCGGGCCATCTTGGGGCGATTTTTGGGTTCGCGTGGGCCGTCTTGGAGCGTCGGGAAGCCGAAAAGGGGAGAACTCAAAGATCCCCCACAAACCAACGACAAATCAATGAATTTTGGGTCGTCTTGACGCTATCTTTTGGGTCGTGGTCGACCGTCTTGGAGCTCTTTGGGGTCTTTCCGGAGCGCGCCGGAACGTCGGGGGCCCTCTGGGGCCGTCTTCGGGCTCTCGTGAGGTCCTCCCATGTCGTCTGGGGGGCTGCCCGAAAGGCCCGGGGTGCGCCAAATTCGCTAAAGTGTGTGTGGATGTGTGTGTGTGTGTGTGTATATGTGTTTTTGTGTGTGTGTGTGTGTTTGTGTGTATGTGTGTGTGTGTGTGTGTGTGTGTTGTGTGTGTGTGTGCGCGCGCGCGTGCGCGCGCGCTTTTTCCGGGGTCCCTGGCCCTATAACAATACATGAAAAGGAATCTCCATATCCGTTGTGTCTGGGGTTTTCGGATTCCCTTCTTTAGATGCCCATAGACGCAGTGGATTCGGATACGACCTGGCCCGAAGAAGGGCCATACTTTGAGCCATGTCCACAGCGTCGCGGGCGTGTGGCTTCCTTTCCCAAGGCATCGAAGACTCCGTGGAGTGGATATGGACACAAGCTCTGCCTGCAGGGAGAGACCGCCGATCGGCGACTTTCTGTGGTACGCTGCGACGCTGGCCCTTGCGGAGGGGGCGGGGCCTGGTGGGAGTTGGCCGCAGGCGATGTGGGAGGACAAGAACTTCCAAGGCCAGGAGTGGACTGTAGACATGCAGTCGGAGCGGGAGAAGGCCATCGCCCGCCCTGGCGCGTTTCGTGATCCGTCTTTCGTCTCGAGTGTTCGTGCTCACCTCGCTCGTTTGATCAGCGACGCTGCGCCATCTCCTGCTCTTCTCCGCGTCAGGTGGGTGGATCCCACCTGCTGGGGACCATCCGAGCTGCCGAGAGGGCGTGCGGACAGGCCGTTGTGTTGCGCAGGCCGCCCGATTGGGCCCACCTGGGGCTGAGGGACAAGCCTGGCGCTTGCGCCTGGCCGTCGGCCGCCTCCCACCCACTCTGCCCGCCCTCCCGCCCTGCCCCCCCCCCCCGACGGCAGCCAGCCGACGAGGACGGCACGAACTGACACACACACACACAACACTCAACACACACAATACACACAACACACGCACACACGCACACACGCACACAACACACACACGCACACACGCACACACGCACAGTCCCGCAGACAAGTAGGCTCTTTGGCGTCGCGGCCGCGCCCGAGGTCACGCGGCGTGGAGACATCGCATCCGCCCATCGGGGATCCATCGCACCGCTTGCGAGGGGTCGGTCGCGAGGGGAGCAGCGGGGGAGAGGGGTGGGGAGGGCGCAGGACGGGGGACGCGAGAGGAGCAGTGCGGCAGGGCGTGAGGGGCCAGGCGGTGCGCAGCGGGCAGGCGGCAGCGGCAGCCAGCCGACCAGGACGGCACGAACTGACACACACACACACACGCGCACACACACAACACACGCACACACGCACACACGCACACAACGCACACACGCACACACGCACACACGCACACACGCACGCACACAAGCACGCACGCACGCACGCACGCACGCAACACACCGCACAACACACAACACACACCACACACAACACAACACACAACACACAGCACAAAACACACAGCACACAACACAACACACAACACACACCACACAACACACAACACACACACAACACACAACGCACACCACACCACACAACACACAACACGCAACACACAACACACAACACACAACACACAACACACACTCCACAGCACACAGCACACACAGCACACACCACACCACACACCACACACCACACACCACACACCACACACCACACAACACGCAGCACACACCACACATCACACACCACACATCACACAGCACACACCACACACCACACACCACACAACACACACACAACACACACACGACACACAACACACACACCACAATCCACAACACGCACCACACAGCACACAACACACAACACACACCACACAGCACATAACCCACAACACACCACACACAACAAACAACACACACTCACCCACAACCACACCCACACCCACACCCACACCCACATCCGCACCAGCACACGCACATGCGCACGCACACGCACACGCACACGCACACGCACACGCGCACGCACACGCACACGCCCACACGCACACCCGCACACACACACAGCCGCACACACACCCGCACACACACACTCACCCGCACACGCACACCCGCACACACACACACACACGCACGAACACTCACACACACATACACGCACGCACACACACAGCCACACACCC